CTGGCTGCCCCAGCACGGTGGGAGGTGGGAGGAGCAGGAAAATGGCAGTTTCCTTGAAGTGGGGCAATTTGCCCCACACCAACCCACACGTGCAGGGGTGTGCACTGTGGCAAAAAGTAGCAACGTAAATTTGTGCTCCTATTATTTTTGCCACAAAGAGTGCTTGCCTCTGCATGTGGAGATGTGCCCATGGGGTTGCACCCACATAAGAATCATGTCTTGTACATATTTTAAACAAAGGGGATAATTTGTCAAGGATCAATTAGCAATCGTTGTGGTGTTTGGAAAAAAACAATAGAGAAAGGGTATATCAGGAATATTTCTTAAACTCTAAATGTTAATGTTGTTTAGCAATAATCAGATAAGCTGCAAAATTCATGGGCTCAGTGATTTACAAGCAAGTATATTACTGCTTTTGTGAACTCCTGTCCGGGGCGGTGGCGTCGGACCTGATGATCTATTTAGGTCCCTTTCTACCCTAAGTACTATGACTATGAGTATTTTACTGCCTCCTGATGTACTGTATTATTAGATGCAGCCCAGGGTAAGTTATACAGTCATCCAGGGAGTACTGAAATAGGAGAATTATCAGAACATACACCAATTAATTAACAAACTTAGCATTTGTGGTGATTTTTATTTTTGCTGAAAGTGTGACGTGAATACAGCTAGAGGGAAATGCAATGAAAGTTCAAGAGAAAGGGAAAAAACTGCTGCACATCTATAAAGAGTCATCATCAGTTCCTCTTCCAAAGAAATGCTAGTTATTTCACCTAGAAATAAAGCAAACTAGCATTTTTTAATATGGTGTAAAAATAACGATGTAGCCATTATGATCCAGAAAATATGCAAGAGGCAAGGATTTTTCTGGGTGATATCTTTTATATTACTAATTGCATGATTACAAGAGATTTAAACTACATTTTTTTCTATTGTGAATTTTAAAAAATATCTTATGATTGAAATAAGATATTTCAAAATAAAATTAATAAGATATTTAAAATAAAATGAATTTTTATCTGGAAAAATTTAAAATAATATGAAAACAAATACACAAATATTTCAGTGGCTGACTTGTTTGTCTCAGGTTTGTCAAAGCTCACTGTTATTCTGTAAATGTTTTTGACAAGACAGCTGCTATTCACTCAGTTGTCCATCGTAAGCAATACTAGAAACTAAAGTTAATGAACAAATGTTTTACACATCACCTACTTCTTCAATTTGCATTGTTATTACAACGTTGGTGTAGAATAATTAAAACTTGTTTCTACAGATGTGGAATTTTTGTGTGTGTATGAATGGTATTTTTCTTTTCAAACAAACAAAAATGAGATCAACATTGGACTGATTTTTGATGACGTTTAAATTGTACTTGTTGTTTTTAATCTGTATAGGGAACATTGGTGTGCTACCAAAGAGGTTTTGAATGACTCATTCTAGCTGATAGATGGATGATATTTGCATGTCTGTGAATGAGGTGACATAGCAACACTGTTGCACAGAGACATAAAAATTTAATGCAAAACAATATGAGTATATGAAACAGTTCAGCTTGAAATGAAAAAAAAAGCAAACAGTTTGCTAGTGATTAATGAGTGGAGGTAGTTCTTGGAAAAAGAATGATGTGATCAGCAATCACGTCAGCCACTGAGTATTGGAAATGAAAGATCCGAACCTTGTAATAAACCCATGCCCATTACATTTTTAGTATAGAGTCCCACTCGAGAATCAGGATACAGCTGGACTCACTTCATTTGTTTTCGTAGCAATGTTGAACTTTCTAAAATTTCTTAGACAGAAGCTATTGAAGTACAATAAGATCTTGCCAATTTTTTTAGTGCAGTTAGGAACTGTATTGTAGTTCAGCATCTGGCTTCAAAAGAAACCATCATTTCTAGAATTTAGATGTACAATCAGTTTAGCGTTATACCTTTAATTCTCATACACTTGTCAGTTTCTTGAGAAATTGCAGCTGCAAGCACTTTAACACTGGGAAATAGCGAAAGCTATGCTAGGCTTTAAGACATGTGAGATTTTTGCAATGGATATTGAAAAAGACAGAGTTCAGTAGAGAAGATTTTGCACTGTCCTGCATTAGGACCATGTAGAAACGCTTGGTTCCTAGGCAGAACTCAAAGAACAAAATGGCTTCTTGCTCTACTTTGCATGGAGAGTGTACCTGTTACATCATTCTTTTGAATGGTGCTTTGTATTCCTCCCCAATATACAGCCATTGACAATCAGTCCATATGGGTACAGATAAGTATAATTCCATCTCTTTTCTTTCACCCCTACAACAGAGATGGGTAACTCAGAGGTCTTGAAGTGGATTCCTGCTGTGTCTCTACCCAGTGGGATCCTTTTATCTCCATTCATGTCTCTAGAAGCTGGAACTTTAAGTAATAAACCAAATACCTTTACCATCTATGGTAAAACAATGAGGATTGCCAACCCTGTTCAACTTTTAAAAAGCTCTAGTTAAAATTAAACTGGCTTTAAAATATTTTTATATAGAAGGACAACACTTGTCTTAAAACATTTTTATTGCTCCAACAGTTACAGATTTTGAAAGTGTTGCTGCATGTGAAAACCATTCATTTTTATTCACACATTAAAGCATTTCAAGAGAGTATTTCATGTTCTTCACAAGTTCTATACCAGAAATACTTGGCTGTGTATATCTTAGCGCCCCCTCTAAAAGTGCAGGTAAAGACACCATGAGATCTAATGCACAATCCATGCAATCGCACTTCCTGACATGCCACACACACATGGTAGGAGGCATGATTGTGGGATTGCACATTAGATACAATCATACCCATGTGTGTGGTGCAGGTGGGACAGAGTCCCATCAGGTGCGGGACTCTTAGACCCGGCAGACTTGAGGCATGGCTGTGATCTTAGTCCTGGGGGTGTGTGGAACAACCCATGGCTGGGAGATTGCAAAGGTTGAGAAACTGTGGTTGAGTCTTCCAGCTGAAGACTGCCTACACATACAAATTAAAGCTGGATAGAAACCAGCTATAAAGTTATTACCTATTTTTGAGCAATAACTTTATAGTTGGTTGGACCTTTTTAAGGCCCTATTGTTAATTTACATGTATGCCCTGTCTAAATTTACTGTGCAGTTAACAAGATCATTGCATAATAGATACAATGTGTAGGGCTTTAGGAGTGTTAAAATGTTCTACAGCATTCTCCCCCACAGCAAATCATTTCCACTATGTATTTGCTATTTTTATGTATGATGATATGAAGTTTTACAGTTTTTTATTAAGAGAAAATAAGTTAAAGGAAAATTAAAATACAAACTCTTATTACTTCTAAGACAAAATTCATGGTGGGACTTAGGCTTCCAAAATACTGAATAAGACAGACTTTTCTAATCACCTTATTGTTGTAAAGGATAAATTCCTTAAGATCTATGATCAAAGCATTGTGTCAGACTGTCTGTATGTATGTTTAACATAACTGAGATTTAAGAGTGTTTTTTAAAGAAAGGAAAAATTTGCCCTTTATTTTAAGTTACCATGAGATCACTGTGCTCATGTTAATGTAATTAGTTCCATTAAAGAAAACAGAAGAATATTGGTTACTGATTTTTTTCTTGAAGACAAAACAATCTTTATTTGAATATAGAAGAAAAATTTGGTTGATTTATTTAAAGAGTTAGAAACTCTGACTCAGTTTTAATAAGACTTTGCACTCTAATTTTTCCATGGCACATTTATGCTAGGCAGTCTTTTCTGGGTTTGTAGAAGGATGAGTGGTAGTTTTTTGGGTTTTTTTAAGAATTCGGACTAGAAGCCAGCTCACTTGCACTAGCCTCAAATTGTGCTTTACAAAGTATGGACCCATTCCCCTTTTCTGCTAGTTTTACACTGGAATAACTCCACTGATTTCCACCACAGAATTACCCCCAACTACCAATCTGCAGAATTTGAATTAAGCCTTTAGGAAAAGCCCCCCATTGAATCCAATTAAAATTTTGAGGATTATAGGGCCCAGAATAAGATATGAAATGATGACTACTGCAAGATGCTAGGAGTTGAAGGGATTCAGTTCCCTTCAGGAAACTATAAGAAACTTGGTATAAATATAATTAGAACCTGCTCAATTTTGATCTTTTTGAAAAAAGAGAGTAACTGTAACATACAGTTACATGATCTGCATATGCCATAGTGCAAATTGCAACGTACTTTATCATAAAGAGCCTGTGAATTAATCTGCCTCTGAGCATGTTTTCACATCCTTTCTTCCTCCTAAATGTTCGGGGTCCTAAGCAAGTGCTTCCCTGGGTAATCTGTGACAGGAGGATTTTTCAAAACATCATAATAAAAAGAAAACTGATAGATTTTGTCAGACACCAAGTAATTAGATTTTGAATTGAGTGATGAATATCTGTGGTTCCTTCTGTTTTACAACCATTTGCTGAGCCAGTACCCTTTCAAAGGTTGCTTTAAAGAGACAGTATTCAGTGAAACAGAATGGTTACTCAGTACTTCATTATGCATATATCTTCAATAAACATTATACCCAAGACCAGGGGGTGGCAATCTATGACCCATGGGCTATTGGACCAGGCCACAGAGCTGGGGCTTTGGCAGTGTTTGGCAGCAAGGACTTCACTTGTGTTGTACTGTGCTGCACTGTGGCCAGGCAGCTGGATGGCCAAGTGATGGGGAACTCTCCACTAGCCCTGTTGCAGCCAGACAGGGGACAGATGCAGCAGCAGTGGCTGGTTCCTAGCACTGGCTTTGAGCTGGGCCATTCCAATCCGTTGCTGGAAACGGCTGCTAACCACTGCCCAAGACTATAAGCAATACTAATTATGTATCTAAATATAAAATACAATATAGCATGGCAATTATGGCATTTTAAGGCTTAGTCCAAAATTCCTCAGATTGAACAGGTATAATTCTACTGACTTTAAAGGGCCTTCTGACGTATTACACAATCATCAGAAATGCCATGCCATATAACAAAACGAAAAAAATATATTAATCCTGTGGGCAAATTTTCTTCTTCTTGATATTTCTGGACAGACATACAGCTAAAATGAACAAGAGAATCTGAAAAAAAAGGAAGAAAGAAGTGTTAAAAACCATAGTGATAGCTGCTTGCTCAAGGTTTTGTTTGAATGTTATTCGAAGACTAAGGTAGAATGCATAGACAGTGCAGGGAGCCAAGACCGGTATCCAGGATTCGCTACCTTACCTCCAGCTGAGTGCTCTAATCACTAAGATACCAGTCAAGGAGCCCTTGCTTGCACTTGTTCTGGCCCTGTGACTCTTGGTCTTTGATACATGTTCATTTACAGGTGCAATGGGATCTGATCCATACAATTAGTCCTGCTGCCATGCATAGCAGAAGTTGGAATTTTGGGATTGGGAATCAGATCCAACTTGTATCCTTTCTACTTCCCAGTGCAGGGGGAGCCTGGGCAAGCCAACAGCACCGGCAAGCCAGAACCCAGCAATGGGAAGCCAAAAGCTAAGCACTTCCAGATCCAGAACCAGGGCTGACAATCAATTGATTGTCAGCTATAGCCAGGGACCACACTGTGGCCAGTTTGAGACCCTGGTGAGTTCCTTGTCAGGCTCTAGCTGATAAGGTCACTGGTTCAAGACCCTGATGTGGTTTCTGGCTGGAGCCAAAAATCAGCTGCTTGTTGGCCCTGGCTTGAGACCTGTTACACATTCAATTTAAGGTGCAATGAAAGCCAGCTATAAAAATGTTCTATAAAGAACATTTTTATTGTTGATTTGATATTTTGTGGCACTTAAATTGGATGCGGATGTAGTGGCCTTGTCATTTATGTTGCAATTAATATGTGACTCATGGTATAAATGTGAAGTGTAGACAGGGCCTTGTATTCATGGCTGCCCAGGATCACAGTTTTGATTGAGTGCTACTCTGTACAGACTGTTTTCTGGGAAGTGGGGGACTGAAGCTCTTTAGAGTGGACCAAGGAAGGCCTAGAACCAGGTCTTAAAAGTATTTTAACCATTAACAAGCTGTAGGAAAGCTGGAGGGAACCCTCACATCCTGTGTTCTTGGTTTTGAACGTGACCATAGCTCTAGTACTTTGTATTGGACTTTATACTGTTGGTATGTGTAAGGAATGCTCCAGACACACCAAGCAGATTAGGTTTCTTCAGTTTCTTTCATGGAATTTATGGCTACCGAAACACTTGCTCAGGGGGTAGGGGACCGTTTTAATCAGAGTGGTTCCCGTGCAGCTGCTCTAATTAAAATGCCATGGCATCATGCGTATTCACAGATGTTTAGGGCTCGAAGGGAACTCATGAGATCATTGGGTCTAGCCCCCTTGCTCTGGGCAGGAAAGACTGCTGGAATAAAAATAAGTCAGAATAAAAACAGGTTAGTGTAATCCATGTGCAAGAGGTTCTGTTCTCTCACCATAATCAAAAGTTTCCAGATCTACATGTTACTTCAAAATTAAGTTCTCAAAGTTGGTTTTGATCTCTAAAGAGCAAACATGATTACAGATTGGTATGAAAGCTGTTAAGAGATACTGCATTAACCCCCTGAGTGTTTTAAAATGGCTGTGGGATGCTTTATCTAAACCTCATTTGACAAGGTTTAGCTAAAGAGCCCCATGGGCATTTTAAAATGTTATGGGGCTTAATATACATGACACTGCAGCAATGCTGGAGTGTTCTAATTAAAATGTGGAGCAGACTCGATTAATTGAGTATTTCTAATTAGAACACAAAGGAGCACCCTATGTGCCACTTGGCCTAGTATCTGAATCACAGTAGAGCTCAGCTAGAAGCTATATATCTAGATCCTCAGAAACAGTTGTTTCTGCACATACAGTAAAAGCCGTGTTATCTGGCACTTTATTAACCAGCATGCTCTATTAACTGGCATGCCGGTTGATGTGGCAAAAGCAAAACCAGAAGCCCCACTTCCGGTTTCACCGAGTCCCACTTTGCCAACTTCAGGCCATGGCCCGGGGCAAAGCAGCTGCGTGGGGCCCCCTTCCCTGTCCCCTAGCAGGGAGTGAAAGCCTGGTGCAATGGATGCCGCAGGAGGGGCAGCAGCCCAATCAGGCAAAGATACCTCTCAGGTAACCAGTATATTTAGTTATCTGGCACCCCCCCATTCCCCACGGGTGCCGGATAACAGAGCTTTTGCTGTACATGGAAGTTTAAATTTAGACACCTAGGGAATACTGCAGTCCAAAATGAAGATGTCAAATGAATTTAAGTCATATTGGTTTACTTTCTGTAATGTAAGCAGTAGTTCTGTTTAGGTGTACTTACTTTCCCAATCTGGAGCGGGCCCTTAACCTCTTTGTGGCTCAATTTCCCTCCTGCAGAATTCAGATAATAGTACATCCCTACAGCACGAAGGACTATAATGCACCCAGACTAGAGAAAGAGAATCAGAAAAGCGCAGGCTCAGGGGCGATCTGATGGCCACCTATAAGTTTATCAGGGGTGTTCACCAGGATCTGGGGGAACGATTGTTCACCAGAGCGCCCCAAGGGATGACGAGGTCTAATGGTTATAAACTCCTGCAAGATCATTTCAAGCTGGGCATAAGGCAGAATTTCTTCACTGTCCAAGCCCCCAAGGTCTGGAATAGCCTGCCACTGGAGGTGGTTCAAGCACCTACATTGAACGCCTTCAAGAGAAATTTGGATGCTTATCTTGCTGGGATCCTATGACCCCAGCTGACTTCCTGCCTCTTGGGCAGGGGGCTGGACGTGATGATCTTCTAAACTGTTAAATAGTCTTTCTCTAGTGATTTGTGTCCTGTCTAATTTAACACCCACTCTCTCTTCCTCTGGCCTGAAAGGCTTCAGGGGTCTATAACTCCCTTAACTACAGCCTTCCATCTCCTCCTATCTTGTGCAATCTCCTTCCACTTTATTGCATCTTTGCCTATTCTTTTCAGATTAGTTTTTATGTTCTCTACCCATCATTGCCTTGGTCTACCTTGAGGTCTGATACCCTTTACCTCAGCTTCCAAAATCTATCTCACACTCCTTCTCTCATTGTTTTTTGTGATATGCCTTGCCCATTTTATTTTCTGTGCTCTGATCTTGCTTAAGTCATTAGGTAAGCTCTTGATTATGTCTTCTCCTCCATTCTCCATTTTCTTGCACTGCACCAAATATTTTCCTTAGTACTTTGTTTTCAAACACTTGCAGCCTTTTTCCATTTGCCTTTGTCAGAATCCAGGATTCACATCCATATAAAAGGACAGGTTGAACAACTGTATCATTGT